CTGTTTACCTTGTAATAAGAATGCTATTTCTTGCTTTTTTTTCTTCCCTTGACTGAGCTTGTTTTCAGGCTCTCCTGCTGCTTTCCGGCTGTGGGAGCTGGCTCTGAAGGCAACCAGGAGCACTGGGCTGGGGGTCCCAGCATCCCACCTCCCCACCTGCTGCTCAACACTGCTATGCAGGTCCCAGATTAAAAATCAAAGCCCTCCCCGGCAGCAGGAGGTGAATCTGTGGCAGGAAGGAGCAGCAGCACTAGCACTGAGCTGCTCTCACATAGCTGGACCCTTCCTAGGGAAGCAGCAACGCTTGGCATGAGCAACTCTATGTTGTTCTTCCCTCCCACCCTCCTGCAAGACAGATGTTTTTCTCACTTTTAATGAAAATAATAATAAATAATAAAAAAGAAGCCACCTGCAGAATACAGGGCATTGGCAAAGGCTGCCTCTTTTCAGTCCTGGGCATCCTTGCTGGCAATGCAGATGGAGGTTGTTAGCTGTGATGAGATGGGTTGTTCTCAGCCCTGATGTGAAAATGCAGTTTTTCTCTTCTGTCAGTCACATCCTTCACCATCCTGGACTAGAGCCAGCGATGTACCTTTTACAGGTACGGTGTACTGTGGTGTGGTCAGTGAAGTACAAAAATACCATGGTGAGAACAGGACTTGAGCAATGTCCCAGACACAATGTGCCACCAGCTCGCCTAACCCAGCCCAGTGTGTTCAGATGGACCTGGTGATGCAAAGACCTTGGAAAAGTCCTTCCTTAAAGAGGAGGACCTGGACAACTGCAGAGAAGAAGGGCAGACAAGGAGCAAATCCCAATTTCAGAGCGAGGCAAAAAGCAGACGTACAAAAATACCTAAATATGGGAAACATCAAAAACTCGGTTTCCTGACATGAAAGCTGCTCCTGGGCCTGGTTGATACCCCCAACGCCGCAAAGCAGAAGCACGCACAGGCTCTCATGGCTGGGGACTCCTGGCATCTCTGTCAGGTCTCTGTAGGAAACGTAGACCCTAGAAACACCAAGTCTGTGACGCAGTATGCTAGGAATCCAGGCAGGGCTTTTCTGGAAAAGCTGTAGGAGTTGGGATGTTTTCCAATCAAGCACATGAGGCTCAACAAAGGAGTGTTTTTCCCTTTCTGCTCAGTGATGCAGATGCCACAGCACACAGGACTTTTGCAGGAACACAAACAGGGTCAAAAGCAATGCGCTGTAGAGATGAGCTCCTTGCCAGAGGCTGGGCTTCTGTAAATAGGAAATGGCAACCAGGAAAATTAAGGATGGAATTGGAGGAACAGAGTCTAATGAATGGGGATAACAAGGAAATCCTCGCAACGCTGTTTGTGTTGCAATCAAAGGTTGGAAAGCCCAGGTCAGTTGCCCAGTTGGGTGCAAAGCCTTGGCTGAAACACATGGTTGGTGTGGTAAACTGAGGCACATCTAAAAAAATGAGTAGGCAAGCAATACCACAGGGGAGAAATAGTGATGGCAGACACACACACTTGGGTGCTCTTAAGCAGAAGTGCTGCTTTAACTTCTTTCCTTCAGTAATAGACTTATTTCTTCTTCTGCCTTATATTAAAAAGGTTCTGAGCTTATTTGAATATTTCACAAACTTTTTATCGCCAGCTGTCACCACCTCTATTGGTTATTTCTGGGATCTCCATTGTCAGAGAGTTTGCAGTGCTTCAATACACTATATCTGCGTGCTCAGAGCAGCACAGAAAACAAAGGCAGATTTATTATAAGAAGCTCGTGCGTAAATCAGAAGCTGAATCTGATAAAAGCATTAGCACAGACAGTTTCTTAAAATTATCAAGTTGGAGAAGCCAAGAAATCCAATAGCCTGATGCTATTCCAAAAACATCTTGAGCTGTCTTAACTTCTTTGAAATATCCAAGTAATATAAATGAGTGTGTAATTCCCACTGACAATGAAGTTCCCTGCGCTGTATACACAGCTCTGGCACCATCTGAATAATACGGTGCAAAGATGCCAAGAAGCAGTCAAAGTTCCCATTGTCCATATAGACAAATGCCATCATTTCATTGCAAGATGGCTTTAGCAGAAGGCATGCCAGTCACATGCAAGGACTGAAATCCAGTGGGAAAACTCTCCCCCCACCTCCAATCCGTATTACTCTGCTACCGCAGAGGTGGTCAAAGGGCCATAGAAAACATGGCCAAGGGATGTTCATGCACAAAAGTCAAGGGAAAAGGGACGGAAAGCTGCTTCCCCCCATCAGGATCATCTCTGGAAACATCAGCCGTCCACAAGATAATTTTGTCACATTAGAAGTATAGCAAACAAACAAGCTAGATCCATCTCCCCCAGTGGCTTATTTTTGCCAGAAGTTCTACTGTCCATCTTAAAGGTGGGATTGCTTCCCTTCCCCATTCTTCTACCCAGGACCGTACTTCTGCCCAGGCAACTTCAGAGCAGAACTTGCACAAGTCCTCGGAGAGAGAGCAAGCATGAAAACATGGGAAAAAATTAATCTCAATGGAAATCCTTGACTAATTGACAGGTTGGAATAAGAATGACCATAGACCCCAAACTATGCCAGGCAACCAGCCTGCTCCAGGCACTGCGAGCTCGCTCAGCCAGCTACATGCCTGCCTGTTTTGCTCTGCCAGCTTTACAGGGCCTAATTAGCTCTATTCCTTTTGTTTGTAATTACAAAAGCAAACAGCCCTTGGAGAGAGAGGGAATAGAGGAGGCAGCTCCTTGACTGAAGAAAAATGCTTAAAATAAAGATTGCCTCTCAGCAGATGTACTTGAAAATATGAAAGGGATGAACAAGGGAGCCCTGGTGAATGGAAAAAGGTTTCCAGGGCCTGGTAGGAGAAAGACAGAGCCTTGCTACCCTGGGGAGGTACCAGTGCAGGGTAGAAGAGACCATCCCCAGCTGGGACCACTCTACATGGCCTAAAAAATGTCAACTTAACAGGTTGTCATCATTGTCACAGCACCCTCCCCAAGGGGCTTCGGAGATGGATCCTCCCAGGGCCCATCTCTTCATGATCCTGTTAACCCAAAAACATCAAGGAATTGCACATGACAGTATTCACAAGACACCAATGAGCAGATCTCCTGCTCTGGAGGAAGAACATCTTGTACAGATAGCACATACCCTACCCTGGACAAAGCTATAGCAAGCAAAACACTGCTGAAATGCAGAGCATCTCCCTTGGGAGCACCCTGGCTCCACACCCCAGCCCTCCCCATTCCTGCAGCTCCCCCTCCCTGTGCTGAGGCCATCAGCCTCCCCCTTGCCCCTTCCTGCTCCACCCAGGGTGCAGCCCAGCCTTGCCTTGGAGGAGAAGCAGACCTGCTGGTTCCCGGGCTGCAATCTGATTACTGGGCCAGTTGAGCAGATTACTGGGCAAGTTTCTGCCAGAGGCCACAGCTGCCTGACTCACTGCAGAAGATCTGTCCCCACCTATGTCTACACACAGCTAAACAAGCTCCGCACCAGCAGGCAGGCTCCCAAAAATGCCCCAAGCCCCACCCCCCATTCAATTCCTAGCACACTGTCCAAGATCTGCTCAAAAAAAACCCCAAGAAGTGAAGTAATGCAGTCTGATTTTCCTTAAAAAAGTCCATTTATTGAAATTGTTTAAACACTTTATACAAGTCCCCAATACAAGCTTTTGCTCCCTGGCTCAGGGTTAATGCAAATATAAAAGCACAGACCTCAGTAGCTCTTTGACATGACCTGAGCTGCCACCTCCTAAGACAAGGTCCCAAGAGGCAGCTGCTGTGCATGGGCAATTCCCCATGGAGAAGTGGCAGCCACATGACCAAGCACAGGACAACATCAACCCAAGCCTGAAGCAAATGCTCTGGCTGGCTTCTTTTAGTAACTTTGATTTGCATTGCAGAGAGTCAGGTCAAACAGAGGTACACAGCTTATACCAACCACCAACGCTGTGGCTGTACATTGCTCAGCCCCACAGGCTCTCTCTGTCTACAGAAGGAAACAAAGAAAAAGCTGATGCCTCTGAATACATGAACAATTATAAAACCTGCTCAGAAACAACAAGTTCCCTTCTGTAGAAAAAGCAAAGTTGAGCTTTGAGGACCTGGTACCATCCATCTAGGGAATTATAAGACTTGACTCTGGACAGCCTCAGCCAGTGTCAGTCAAACACCAAGGGACCGACTGGGTGTTTTGGGGAAAAGGTTGGGAACCATTGATGAGCTGCATTCTTTAATTTTTTTCTTCTTTTTTTTTTTTAAGATATGACTTAATACACAAGGATGGCTTTATTGTTAAAACGCTGGTTTCTTCCTCTTTGGTGTGCTTGGATTAAAAGCAGTAAATGCCATAACCTTTGGGTCAGTTTCCTTGGAATTTACCTTCATGTTATCACTGACATGTTTATAACAACAAAAAAAAAATCAAATGGTAGCAATGTGAGGTATCCTTGGGGAAACATCAGGGAGAAGCAGTGCATTCAAGTTGGGTTTTAACACATTTAGCTGCAGAAGGTAAACTGAGATGGATAACTAAGCCCAAATGAGAAAGACTCAAGGAAATAGGGCAGTTTGTTAAGAAGTGGCCAGTAACACACACAAAGGACAAAAAGCTTCAAGCTTGGTTAGGTATGAGGGTGGGAACGTGAAGAAACAATCGCTGGCAGCGCTTGGTGTCTAAGGGACAGCAGCAACAGCCGCAGAGACACCCAGGGAAAAGGGAAGGCAATAAATCACTTTTCTTTAGTCCTTCCCTGGCACCAAGGAAACCCACAGCTGCTTTGGGAGCCTCCCAACCTCTGCAGTCACAATTTCGCCGCCTTTGGCTCAGACACAATCAACCTAAAAAGCCTGATGACATTCAGCCAAGCCTTGCACTGCATCTTCTGTTGGCTAACAGCATTTGCATGGACAGTTTCAGGCTGCGATTCGTTAAGTCGCAGCAATTTAATTGTGTCTGACCCTTCACCATGCCAGTCTGCACAGGAGGGTGCTGAAGATGACTCCAATGAGACGATACGAGAACATTTTGGATCTCTTCAAACATTCCTACATGTAAAGTCTTTTCCCTAAAATCATGTCTCCCCTTAAGCTATTGGTTTCATCACTTTGTATATTATATATGTTCCTTTAATTTCTACACACACCACACTGGGCTCTAACTTAATGGGATATGGGACTGATTTGTTACCATCTATTATTTTTTTAAAAAAAAACCAACTAAAAAAAGCACCAACATCCATCTAAAAAAAAGTATCATTTTCCCTTTTACTCCCAAACACTAAACTTAACCCAAGCTTGGAGGTTTCATCTTTCCAGTGGCAATACCTATGGACCTAGGCTAGCCTTCCTCCATGGGCTGGGAGAAAAAGGAGAAGTTACGTCCAGTAGCAAAGATGATTACAAAAATATACACATTTTTGGGAGAAGAGGAAGGCAGGACCTAGAGTCTGAACTCTGCTCAGGACAGCGGCATCGTAGTGTCCTTTCCAAAATGCTTTCACTACCAGTGCTGGCGGCTCCTCTTCTTCATTTCATTATACGTAATCCTTGCCTGTGGAGGGGGCATTTTTCGGGTAGCCTCGGGTTGGTGGATAGGACGTTTCTCTCCGTGGACAGGAGCAGCAGAGGAATGCTCCCCCCAGGATGGCCAGAGAAGCAGCTGCCCAGCCAATGAAGAGAGCAGATCCGAACTCAAATCTGGGGGAAAAGTGAGGAAAAAAGTGAATATTACAAGTAATGCCTCTGGAGTACAGTGTTAGCATGTCCACACAAACCAAAAGGGAGCTGAAATCAGGACCTAAGTGGCTTGGAAGTGGTTTGAAACAGCCCGAGACTCTGCTGACCCTCAAAGCCCTGCATACTGGGTTAACTGGGTTATGGTCCAGTTAGCCAGTCCAGCTCTGTGCAAACCAGGCGCCAATCATTTAGTGAAGGAAGAATGCTGAAGCTGCAGCATTAGGTCTCTATTTAGTGGGCATGGCGGGGTTTGGTTGGTGGTTGGACTTAATGATCTTAGGTCTTTTCCAACCTTAATTATTCTGTGATTCTGGTAGTGATGCTGCCTTCAAACAAAGCCAAGACTGAAGAACCACATGGGTTATGAGAGCTGGTCCCAATGCTCTTCCTACACCGTTTGAAGCCAACCCAGCTAGCTCAGGGGATTCCTTTCTTTGTTTCGAGCCACTGCTACTCAAAACTAAGCCCTGTGAGTACTGGCCATGCTATAATATACTGTTATCTCAGACAGGTCAGTACCTGGTGTTAACGGGTGTGAAAGGGTCGTAAAATGCCCGAGCTACTCTGTTGCCATACCACGACGTGGCCACCAGTGCTGCCAAACCTGCATAGAAAGGGAACACAACAATGTCATGGACTTCAGAAAAACACCAACAACAATAAAAATCACTGCAAAAATAAGCATGTACCAGAACCAGCATCTGAAGCAATGCTCAGATGCTGTTACTTAGAGAATTCCCAGCCCAAAATGCTCTTAGAGCAATGACAAAAGCCCTCCTCTACCCTCTTGATAAATGCCTTGGGAAATGGCACATTTAACGCTAAACACATCGGTGTGTTACTGACCTGCGATGATGAGGATCACTCCACCCAAGACAGCCATCCGCAGCTTCTTCACCTGGTCGTCTTCCATGCACTTCATGCATTTCATGCCGGTCACCGCCACGAAGACGCCAACAAGGCCCAGGAGTATCGCAGCCACCATCAACGCCCGAGTGGCCTGCAGGCTGCCTAGAAGACATCAGGATTTGGGTTACCACAAAGCAAAAAATAAAGATAGAAATTCTAATTACCAGGTTCAGTAATCTTGTTACAACCAAAGCAAGACACTCCCTTTCATTTAGCTTTAAGCTCCCAGAGAGGGCCATGCACTGGGATCAGAGGACTCTTAGCCTCATCTAAAATGCATGAAACAAGGGCATGCAGATTTTTGCAGGAAATGACCTGGGAATTGCCCTCAGACATCTTTTGTGCCTCGATCATTTGAATCCCAATTGGAAGGGCATATCTGTTTATCAAAAGGAATATTCAGATTTAGGCTGTCCCTTGACAAAGCATTTAAGCACCTGTTTCAATATGAATGGTACCATACATATGAATAGTCCCACAGCAGACAGCAAGGCCCCTCTACTGCTCAACACTTCTAAAACCTGTCTTTTATACAAACACCTCAGTGCCAATTTTGATATATTTTGTGCTAAAACCTCAGTTTGAGTCCCAGAGGGTACAAAAATAAAACTGCAACAGAAACAGGATTTTCCCAGACAAGTGAAATATCAGGGTTTTTTTTCCTGCCTAAAATATTTAGCTTACTAGACTCAAAGACTTTCAAATACCTTAAGAGGTAATACCTCTTGTGCTTTTCAAGAATTTGAGCATGGAGTGATGCTTCCCATAGGCAAGGGTTGTATTTGCCTGGATTCTCAGCAGACTCAGTGTACTTTATCCAAAAATCTGGTTTTATACAGACTCCTCTGCAGGCATAAACACACCAACCCTATGTATGTGAGCTACTGATTTCAGATCTTCTTGATAACAAAGGAGAAAGAAAATAATTATCTAAATTGTCATTACTGAAAAACCCTCAGGTGACAAAACACCTGAACAGCAGTGAAATAAAAGCCTGATCTTTGTTGCCTGGCAAATCAGGTCTGTTTGAACAGCATGGATTTTAATATACAGTCTTGTTAAGATCAACAGGCTCCAATTTTGCTTTAAAACAGATCTGGATCTGCCTCTACACACAACCTATTGTTCTGTAAATAGATTATGAAACCACTTTAAAACAATATAATAAAGAGGCAATACTTAAGAGTAATAGGAAGTGACACTTTTGTAAGAAAAGCCTTGGCTTTTCTAGGGAAAAATCCCACCATCAGCTTGGCTTCATAAAAGTCACCTCACTTCCTCCAAAGGGAAAGGCGACACCTCCCCACCGCCCAGGTGTTTATCAAAACCCATCTGCTGCACTGATTGCAGAAACCCATTCACAAAGCCATTTACCACTTCAGCATAAATCACAACAGCAGTATCCAAACATTTTTTAATAGATTTATCGCCGACGTCACAGATTACACTCTAAAAATTTCCAGTTTACAAAAGCGGTGCCAGTTTTCAGCAAGACTTCAGCTGAGCAGTAACCACCCAGGCAAGCAACTGGGAGTTGCCATATATTGAAGGTGAATTCGTGCATTACAGCAGCAGCTCTGGAGAGGCCAGAAGCTGAAAATAGGAACTTTCTCTCCAACAGCTAGAAAAGCAGTTATAAGGGTGGGAAGAGACCTCTCACCTTCAAACACAGCACTAAGGGACAAAGACAGGAAGGTGCTTGTTAAAGTCTCTATTACCTCAGAAAACTGAGCTATGAAACCTGCTAAAAATCTCAGTATGTACAGGTATTAACTAGATAGAGGCCATGACAGCTTTGCAGAAGCAGCTGAACAAAAAGCAGCGTCATGAGCACCTCCCAGAGCAGCAAACCCTGCAGGGACATCTCCTGCTGTCCTCACCCCTCCCTTACGCATGGCTCCGTCTCCATAGAGAACAGCAGCATTTGGAAAGCTTGCAGTAGGAAAAACAGGTCAGAGCATTTGAAGAACAGACCATCCCTTTATCCCTTTATTATTTTTAAAGATTCAATGCAACATGACGGTGTTGGGCAACCACAGACCCCTCTGCCCAGCCTGGCTGCCCCGCGCTCACAGCACACACCAGGAGACAGCGCTTTTGTCTCCCTACCCCTTTTGCAGTGCATGCAGTATATCCACAGTGGTTAATCATCATAAAAGCTATTAGTTATTACATACACATTAACAACTGCGCTGTCAATGGAAGCTGCACATCCAGAGGCTGAGAAAGCTCATTTAATAGTGGTGCTGTTGTTCACACGGGCCTTTCCAGGTGCTTAAAAAAAATCCTCAAATGATATAAGTGTAATATTGCCTTAACCTGCTAAACAGGACTGGCTACCAAAATAAGCAGAAGTACTCCACAGCAATTTAACTTTACAACTTTTACCATATTAAACAGGATTTCCCCCCTACTCCTTGCTACCATAACTGTTTCACAACACAACAGGTAGCACAACATTTGTAACCTCCCACACCATGCACCATGGCTGTCAGAAAAACCAAGTTTTATTCCCTTGGGGAAAAGATAAAGAGTCCTGTACAAGGGGAGACAAACTGACCTCAGTTGTCAGACAGCAACAGTATTTTATCAATATCTGACTCAGAAGTCAAGCCATTTATTCTTGGTTCATACTCAGACACCTGGCCCAAAAAGCCCACAGCAAGAAAGCAGCAAGTCCTGAAGGAGAGGCTTAATTAAATCTACTGAGGATGGTTAATAGCAAATACGAATTTTACAAGCCATAAAATGCTGTCCAAGTCCACAAAAATGACATAACAGCTCACACCTGTCTCACATAATGAAAATACTTTTTTTGAAAGCATGCAAACAAACAGCTAGGACTGGTTGTTAGTGGATTTGGACACAAACCACATGATGCAGTTCATCAGAAGCCTATGCAAGACTTTTTCCTTCCCACAACTATCATTACCTGATGCAGAAGTAATTGCTGGCAACTGCTTAGTTTTTTTAAAAAGGGACTTCACCAGAACATGTTTGAGGTTATTTTTCTGTCATTACATTTCCTTATTTATTCTCTCTATATGCCATGGGATTTTTGTCATGCAAAATCACTGTAATGGCTCCACATGCAGATTAATTTCTGATAGGGATGCTCATCCTGATAAGAGACACTCACTGCCTGCCACCTTCATACCTGAACTGTGGACTTATCTTTCCCTTCCCATGGGCCTCCATGCTGGACTCAAAAAGCCTACTTACTGGTGGCTTGGAGGCTTTCACCCTCCTTCCCAGACCCTGCAAACCCATCACCAGCAGATAATTCAAATTTGGTCTTCTCCAAAGCACCTCCCCACAAGTCCAGGAGATCATACAGAGGAATCTGGGTAGGGCACAGGCTCAGACAGGGTCACATTCCTTGTCAAAATGTGAAGTCCTCACTGCACGTCCAGTGCAGTAGGCAACAGTGGCCTTGTACTCTGCACACCCAAAGCAAATAGGGTTCAACGTCCTCCTGCATTCACTTAAAACAGCAGAGAAAGCGGGACAGATGGGCAACACAGCACCACCACTCCCGATTCCTGGTCAGAGACAACCTGGGCAGCCTGTTTTCCCACGAAGCCTGGAAAATCCCTTACCAAGGGATTTAGTAACACGTAGTAACACCAGCTCCTAAAGCTGCTTAGAAGCTGCTGGTAGAGCAATAAAGTCCGTGTATTGCAACAGGCTCCCATCCCCTCCTGCAGACACAACAGCCTCGGTGGCATTCCAAGGAACCCTCTACCTGCTCACAGCAAGGCACAGGGAGACTGCTTTTATCACTCGATCACAATTTTTCATGAGGAAGGAACAGAGATTGAGAAACACGGGAGCAAATTAACCCATAACCCACATGAAAGCACAGATACCAGCAGGTTCTGCCTGCTTACTCCAGATCTAGAGATGGAGAGGTGACTTGGACACGTTTGTCCCTCATACTACCACCCTCCCAACTCCCCCACCATCACGACAGAACAGCAATAACCTGTGCGTGAACCCGTCCTTCCCCCCACCCATCCTCTTCCCCAGCTCCTGGAACAGGTTCAGCCAGGGTGGTAGAGCTGTAGGAGGGAAGATTTCACATTTCAGCGATGCTGTTTGACCCAGAGGGCATCCAAACCCTTGTTTATTTTCTGGGCTAGGACACAAAGGCTTATTGTGGATGTACTAGGTTAGGAGATGGATGAGTCTCAGCTTGTCTGAGGCACAGAACCTCTCCCAGCAAAACCCAACAGGGCGATGAGTATCTCCAGCCAAAACAGCCTCAACAGGACCCAGAACAACCTCTGCTCTGAGCAGGAGCGCATGGTTAGGTGTGGCCGAAAAGCTTCCAGAGAGACAGGTACCAGGAGCCCTTCTGCCCCCTGAGGAGCACAAAGCTCAGCTGAGCCCCATGGAAGATGCTGGAGGGCTGCAAGAACAATGCTGAGGCTGTGCAAAAAAGCCTTGTGCAAAGGTGGCTTTTGTTGCCTCTGTGTCTGCATGTGGCCATGCACCGCTTTTCATGTAAGCCAGCAAAACGCAGCCTTTTTATCGCCTGAATAACACTGACATAAGCCCTCAGCTGAACGCAGCCGCGGGAGAAGTGCCAGCATGGGTGCACTCCAGCAGCGCGGTCACCACACGGAAACTGGTGGCCCTCAGTTGGCTACCGGCACTTACCAGCTTGTGCCAACCCCGTATCTGACACACAGCATCTGTCCAAGCAGCCAAGACACATCTAGGGAGACGGCAATAGCTACACCAGATACCCAAATGCTTGCTGGTGAGACTTTTCAGCATTGTCACAATCAAAAATTCCTGAGGAGGCTCAGTCCTTTCTATGGGACAAAGTAATTACAGACCTGAGCCTCTCCCAGCAGCTCATGAGGCTCTGACATGTGGATGGGAGCATCCAGGGCATGTGGAGCTCTGGCAGCAGAGCATGGCCAAGCAGGAGGTTTTTCTGCCCACGTACCTGTACCAACTTCACCAGAAATGAATGCAACAAGGGAGCTCTTACTGCACCTGTCCCAGGGTGCGGCTGTTGAATTGAGTGTAAATAGGTGGTTTTCACACCCCCACCCAAAACAGCGCTGCTGGTCCCCGTCCTATGTGGCTGA